CCTTTTTTTTAATGGAATGCCTCACTTTTTATTGCATATTCGAACTATTCGCACAATTCTAGGGCTATTTGATATAAATGTTCTATAATGATTTCCAACTGTTTTTGAGTTAATAACCAATATTGATTGAATTTTGGCGAGCCCGTTTTAACATCTAATTCAAAATTTAGAGAAAAATAGTACATGCAAAAGTTTTAGATATTAACGTTTAGTTTATTGGAACATAATACCAATTCATACAGGGCGTCTCAAACTCAAGTGGCGGTACAAACTTACATTTTTTTAAATGGAATCGCGCACTTTTTATTTCATATTCGAACTATGCGCAAAACTCCAGTCCTCTTGGACATAAATTTTCCACATTGACCTTGAACTGTTTTTGAGTTAATAACCATTTAAATATTCGGACATTCCATTTGTAAAAATTTGACTTTGGTCAGGCACTGGAATTAGAGACACCCTGTAGCAATTGTTATCATCTTAAAATTAACTAGATGTCAATATCTACAACTTTTGTATATAACATTTTGCTCTAAATTTCAAATTAGCTGCAAAAACAAGGTGACCAAAGTTCGATCAATATTGGTAATTAACTCAAAAACAGTTGAAAATCACTAAAGAACATTTATAAGGAATAGGCCTAGCATTTTAGGAATAGCTCGAATATGCAATAAAAAGTACGGCCTTCCAGTTAAAAAAAAGTAATTTTGGCCTGTCACTTAAATTTGAGACATCCTGTATCAATTGGTGTTATCTTAAAATAAACTATACGTTAATGTATTTTGCATTTAACATTTTTCTCTAGATTGCAAATTAGAAAAAAAGACGGGGTGGCCAAAGTTCAATCAATATTGGTTATTAACTCAAAAACAGTTGAAAATCATTATAGAACATTTATACCGAATAGGCTTAGAACTGTGCGAATATTTCGAATATGTAATAAAAAGTACGGCATTCAATTTGAAAAAAAGTAAGTTTGGTCTGCCACTTGAATTTGAGACACCCTGTATCAATTGGTATTATCTTAAAATAAACTAGACGTTAATATCTACAACTTTTATAATTAACATTTTTCTCTAAATTTCAAATTAGATGCTAAAACGGAGAGGCCAAAGTTCAATCAATAACCCTGTACATCTACAATCGTTATTAGACAATATTTGAAGACTGGAAAAAGGGTTGAAATAATGCAAACCAGTGGCTTACACCTTCAGAGTTATGTTTGCTTCACTGTACACCAAAACAAATTGATTGGCCTGCTAAGTTGCCCGATTTTAATCCGATGAAGTTAGATTTACGAACTTAACCCACATTTGCAAAAGACTTTTATTACGAAAAAAAATACTCTAGAATAATACTTTTACATACATTACGTATAACGCGCTTATAAGAAGGTGGCACAAAGACGATAATGGAATGGGTGGTGGAGCGGGGAGTGGAGAAAGAACATAACGAATCAATAAACTTGGAGCTTTAAAAATAAATTTGATAGAAATAGAAACTGCAAAAAGCAACGACAAAATCAAAATGAAAAAATTTAATTATAAAATTAGGTACCGATTTTCACGGAAATGTTGAATAGTTGACTGCAATCGGCAATTTTCTAAAGATATCGATACGAATCGTTCGAGTATTTGAATGCAAGGGTTTTGTAATGTTTTGCCAAATGCGGCTCCTGATTGGTTGCTGATCTACTCACACTCAAGAAAGTAAATTATTATGCCAATTAAACTATTATATATAATATCATTGTGTTTAAAACATTGTAAATTTTATCAGCGTCTTCAGATAATGTGTTTTTTTTATTTTTAACTGTAAGTTTTTGTAATGTTATTTGTTGTTGCCGTCGATAGTTTATTCTCTTTTTACTGAATTACCATACAAGTCTAAAGATACTCTGTTCCTTTTGACGGCAAAAGTTGATCATTTTTCTTTCGCGTATAGTAAACCTTGCAAGCCTCATATCAGGAACAAATCTTTATCCATCTTGATATCATCGAAAACATGTCAAAATCCCGCACTAAAAAACCATCAATAGCAGGAGAAAGCCCGCTGGCAATGCCAATATAATACGATGCTAAGTTACGATATTGTTATACGCAGAAGACGATTCAAAGAAATCTTCGCTGCCAAACACTGCAAAGAAAGATGCAATTTGCAATAATTAAAAAAAAATGCAAATTATCCAACACAATGAATCTGCTGTTTCTTCAGTTACCCAATCAGATCTAGAAGCTGATTATGATTATTGATGATGATTTAAATAAAACAGTCAGTCATGGAGTTTCGCCTGCTAGAGCGCCTGATTTTAATCCCATTGATTCTATTAGGCGAAAAACTTGAAAAAGGTCGACATTTTTGCGGTTTGCAGTAACAAAAGACGACCCTAGATTGATACGTTCTGCATCTTTGTGGCGGCATACTCAAAAGTCCCTTTTGCTTTTTTGCTTTGGATGCATTCGCGCGCCACAAATTTCAGCCAATTCTTCGGAATAGTCGAAATTCTTTAGAGACCATTGGTACGGCGCTCATAGTTGTAGTACCTGGAGTACGTTAACCGAACGCGAAGGCCGTCAGGTACCATCAGTGGCGGAACGCTGAAGGTACAAGCACTACATAGTTAATTTGCACCCAAATTCTTCACAGTTTACTTGAAAAAAAAACAGCAGCTATTTCGGGTTTTAGCTTCAAGCTTCAAAAAGACGCAGCGTTGTGCCAGTTGGATAATGCAATTAAGCTCATTGCAAACAGGGCGAGCATCCCGAAAAATCGATGTTCACATACAGGCATCAGTAGAGCAAAACAATTACTCCTAACTTGGCTATAAATAAGTGGACTGTTTGTTTGGTTTTTATGAGAAACGGTTTACGACGCAATCGAGGAACATTTGCAAAAGGCCAGCCAATGCATAATTCAGCCAATATCGGCATTTGAAACAATGGCACATCAATTGCGCGCAAATGAGGAAGTGCCAGAACAGTTGCACTAACACTGTATAGCCTGCAAATGTTTATTTCGGGCTAAACTAGTGAAAAATGACCGAAACCAAAATTCTCTTCAGTGGCGGTAGTCAATCAATGCATATCCGACCTCCATTTAAAAGACACCCACTGGGTCTCAAGTGCCTGAATAAGTGGGTGTTCAGTCACTTAACAGTTGCACTAGCAATAGCTAGTAAAAGCGCAAAAACCACCCAAGCAATTCGGACTCGCCTCAAACCTCTGATAGAGAAAAACGCCAAATTAAATCACTAGAAATGGGCGCTCACCTTAGTAAGAGGCCACTAGGAAGAAACCCAGAACGGTCCAGAAGTCTGCAGTATCCAACAGGCCGAGGACGCCCGCAATCAGCAGCAGCGATACCTCACCAAATCACTCAAACTTTCAGTCAGAAAACCTCAAAAACCGATTCAATCGCGCAATTCTCACCTCTCAAAAGGCCCTCCTAAAGCGGAGCGAAACTGAATTCCAACTGACTGCAACTGACGCACACTCGAAGTCGTGCGGTCGGCTCGAAAAGGACCGTGACGAGCAGAGAGCCCCGCTGGGGGCTCACGTATATACCGGGTCTGGTACAAACTTATCGTTTTTTTTAATTAGATTCCATCTGAACAGATATAGTCATCTTTTTGCCGGAATCGACATTTACATTCATCTACTTTCCTTGCAGATTTGCAGTTCATTTGATAAGAAGTTAACTTTATTTGGGGTTTCTTGAGCTCCTGGCCAATTGCAACATCAGAAATTGCAAATTTTTGTATTCATAGACTGAACATTCTGGTAGCATTTCAATCAAATTCAATCAGAGTGAAAAGGTCCTATAAATCGACAACACCATGTAGCTCGTCGGTCAAAAAAACAACAATTTTTGAAACCCTGT